TAGCGTATGACGTAAACTCCGAATATATAGCTTCTCGCAAAGGAAGCAAGTCTAAAAGGGGTATGAAAACCAATTTTTAATTCGATTCCTTGCGTAAATCACTAAATATATATAAAAGAGAAGAGCTCCGATATATACTTAACGTCAAATCAAAAGATGTATATGAATATAGCTATAATAAAATCGTAAGTAAATAAAAGAAGAGAAAAAGGACGATCGAAAGACACTCGAATGTGTACTATAAGTACGTGTATTATATTATATAGTAATAAGGTGGTACTAGTTCAAGAAAGAACCAATTACTCGTTTATATAAGAGCTTGCACGTGACCTAACCACGTGCTTAGCAAGGCCAAAGCATGCAGCGCACCCACGTGACAAAGGTGCCTAGCATCAGTATTATATATATGGACAAAACAAATACAGAGCCCCAATTCTACCACAGTAATTATGCATATGCATATTTTTATATATATAAACCTTATAGAGTAACCTTACGCCTTATAGGGTTTCCTTATAAAAAGGGGCAGAATTTTGTATCTTCCGTGGGTTCCCCCGTGAGGAGGACTCAAAACTCCGTGGGGCCCCATGGGGCCCTATGGAGCAGCCTACTTTTAACGCGCTTAAAACCGCATAGCAAAACAAGCTAATAAATCGAAGCGCTCGATTGATTTCGACGTTAATAATAAAGTTTAGTTAAACATGCGCTCGTTTTTTACTTTTCGACCGTTAAAAAAGCTCGATAACTTTACGAATAAACCGTTCGAAGTTATCGATAACGTTTTTAATAGCTTTAAATTTAAGCTTTTCGAGTTAATAAAAGTTTACTTAATCTTTTACTTCGGACGGCTACAAAAAGCTTTTAATGACTTTACTTTCGAGCAAATCATTTTTAAACTTAATTTAATTAATATCACCGGCGAACTCAAGTATAAAGTAAAGAATATTTTAGCCGTGCGTTAAATTAAAAAGCACTTTAAATACCGCGCTTCTTAGCTCGGCCGCGATATTAACTTTACTTAGTACTCCGCTTCCGACTTTATATACGCTCTTTTTAAAATACGTAATATCTATTTAAAACATAAAAAGTTTTTCGGCCTTCTCGCGAAGCTTTTAGAATAAATCAAAGCTTATTCGAACGGTATTAATAACTACGATCACTTAAGCAGTGATAAAGCTATAAATAAACGCTCGAAAACGAGCTTTTTTCGAACGGAAAAGTAATATAACGATACGCTAAGTCTTTTATACGCACTTTATATGCGCTAAGCTACTTCTTTTCTTTTTTCTTTCGTATTCTTTGTATTTTCTTATTCTTTGCTTTTAATTTATAAATTATAGTTCACGAATCTTTAGCGCTTTTACTTTCGTGTATATAAACTTTAGTTACTTTCGACCTTTACACTCGATAATTATTGATTTTAAGTTATTACTTTGAGATTCTCTTAAGCTCTTATATAAACTTCGCGCTTTCGTAAGTTCCTTCAACTTTCAAGTAATCGCTTAAGGTCGTCACAATTGCAAAACACTCGATTGATAAGGTATCTGAATTCTATCTTCTCCCCAAGACTCAGTAGAGCTGATTCCTTTTATATGATTAAAAGGAATCACGTGCACTAGCTAGCTAATAGGTTTACTTGTCAAGTTAAGGGTCCCTTAACTGCTGACATGCTAAGCGAAGCATGCCAAGTGGCACGTGAACCATGGTTCATGGGTGAGCTTCCCAACTACTACTACTACTACTAGCTAAGGTCGATATAGATATACCGACAATAACGATACGCTAAGTTATTTAAACTTAATCTTACGTACGCCAAGCTACTTCTTTCCTTCCCTTTTTATATTCTTTTTAATTTTCTTACTTTTCTCGTTCTTTTCTTTTCATTCGTAACCTCGTTTATAATTCTTTAGCGCTTTTTAATAATAATTATAATAATAATAATAATAATCATCATAATAATCATAATAATCATAATAATAATAATAATCATAATAATC